CATGCTACATAAATTCTCCATGCCTAGAATGGTACAGATTGCTCCTCAGACAAACTTGGAGGATCCTTGAAGAGAAGTTCAGAAACTTCACTTATCTCCTTCTTGCATTTCCTTGGGCTCCAATTTCTACTCCCTGAGATTTCACAATGAAACGGGAACATAACAATATTCTAGGGTTGGAATGAAAATGAACTTCAGAAATGAAATTATTTGGGTGCTGGAAAGATGGCTCAGTGGTTAAGAATTCTCAAAACTCAAAACTCACATCAGATGGCTCAAAACCACCACCAACTCCAGCTCCAAGGGATCCAAAGCCTCCTTGTGGCCTCTAAGGGATGTGTGCTCATGCAACAACCCCTGTAACTAACACACACACACACACACACACACACACACAACACACACACACACAACACACACAGAGAAAAATAATTAGCAATGTTTTATATAGAAGTTTCGAAGAAAACACTCCTTTTGTTATTGTATTCTTTTTCTTTTCCTTCTATCATAACTCTTGCAGAATAGGAAAATCTTATTAAAGTGAATACTCTGTGATAAACTAATGCACAAGCAAAGCTGTATCCTGGCTGGTAAGATAGTTCACTTAGCGGGTAAGAGTGCTTGAAGAGAAACCCACCAACCTGAGTTCACTTTCTTGAATCCCTGGTGGGAGGAAAGAACCAATTCCCCCAAACTATCCTGTGACCTCTACACATGTAAGCTATAACATGCATAAGCTCATGAACACATACACACACACACACACACACACACACACACACACACACCATGTAGCAAGTGGTTATTCATGTTTGACAGTAGGACTATCTGCCTATAGTTCTGCAGCCTAGCATAACTGCAGTGGCTTAAACAGTCAGCTTCCCGAAAGTCTCACTAAAGTGGACTGGACTCTAGCCTACAGATCAGACTCCTTTATGATCTGTAAGTCAGCAGAGGCCAGATGTGGGGGACAGCAACTCCTGAGAAATTGCTATTTGAGATCTTTGGAAAATGTATTGCATTTCCTTGCTAGTTTAATCCCACCCTCCCTTTAAAGAGACATTCAACTAACAAAATACAGAAAGGGGCGCATTAGTGTTTAACAGTATACTTACGCTGGAACTAGCTCCGAAAAGCGCAGGTTTCAGAGGCATGCCATGCATTGCTTTCCCTCGTCATTAGTTCTTAGACTCCTTTGCTTCTCTCAGCCATTTTGCTCAGGTCTTTACGCCTTTTAGTTTCCTCATAACTTACAGGTTGCGTTCCCCAGAAAAATCCATTTTCAGATAAGCCAGGAAGCCAGCTTATTCCCTGGCCTCCCAGTCTTATCAATTCGACTAAGATTGTGAGATGAGGCTGCACAAAATGGCATAAAGCAATGTGTACCACATTGGTTAACCATTGGGCTCAAGATCCTTAAAATCACCATCAGTCAACTGCAGTAAGATTTGACCTCCTTCAGGAGATGCACTGGTTCTGTACTTCTGCTTTTGACCCCAGAGCATGGGTCATCAGCAGGAACTGTAATGTGAGGGACCAAGGCAGCCAGGCCACCACTAACTGAAAGCAGCAAGCAATAAATAACTGTTTCTTCTTTCGTGCCCGACCATGTGTAGTTTTGAAAAATCATCCAAACGGTTTCTTCCAAGATCCTGGTGAGAACACATTATGCCCACATGGCAGCCATCTTGATGGGGCATCTCTGCATTGCCTTCTCCTTTCCTGCTTCTTACTGCGTCACACTCCTGTGATGTATGGATAATATTCCTAGGAATATTATACTACCTTCATAAAAGCTCCTGTCTCAACCGCAGCTTTTGAGGAAGAGCACAGCTCAGAGGCAAAGCCTTTATAGGAGGGTCTTGTATAAGCAGGTTCCAAAAACATTGTTTCAACTACCTGTTCTTGACTGGCTAGTATATCCAAGATCACCAGTAAGTTGCAAACTCTCTATAAACAAAGTAAATGGTTCAAGATTCATATTCCTTCAACTGGAACTTAGGTCACTAAAATCTCTCCTGCTTTACATGAAAAAAAATTCCCTATCAATATGGAGATGGGGGTGATTCTCTCCTGCAGAAGCAAGCATATTTAGGGACAATGCGGGATGAGAATTTCAGATGAAATATTTAAATAATAGAAAGAAAAAATTAACAGGCAAGCAATAAATGCTGATTTTTATTCACATATTAGAGGAAAATCAGAAATCATGGATAAGTAAAAGGATCACAAGGCAGGGTAAATATGAGCCAAGTGTAACTTGGACAGTATTTGATACTGAGGAGACAAGAGAGTTACTGGTCTGAAAGAAAGAAAGTGGACAATCATTTCAAAGACCCCCTTACAATTAGTATACAGAGAAAATCATTTAGGTTAAGTTAGAGAACATCTACAGAGAAATCTCATCTAAAAAGAACCCTGGTGAAAAACCCAAGTTCAGACAACAGCCATAAATATGTGCGGGGAAGGTCTTGTGGATGTCATCATTTTCCCTAACAATGTCATTAAGATGAGGCTGAAATGTGACTATGTGTTTTCTGGGATTACTAACTCACAGGTAAACTGAGGATGCTTACTTTGATGACAGATATTTGTGATGGGTCCTATAAATGATACTGAGTATAAGGATGAGAAAGGCATGAAAGGATTAGAGCTGATTTTTTGGGCCGTGTCTAGCAAGTCTCATTGATCGGCAGTTTATTTCCTTTTTCTTATTCTCAGGCATCCTAAAAAAGCCCAATGAATTCCATTAATTATAGGGCAGTTACAGCTTCTCAAAAAAATGGTCCTGTTTTAGGGTTCCGGAATGTATTTACTGCAACGTGAGCGCTATGGAAACAGGGAACTTACCAATCTACCTGTGTTGCTCACTGTTTGCCACACCTCATGCCAAGAACAAAAACTAGCACAAATGTTCAGCGACTGCTTGCAAAATGAAGAGATCTAGTCTTCAGTTCTCCAGATGGCCCAGTCCTGTACTCTGTGTACAACCTTCCCTGGGGAAACATTCGTTGACTTCAACACCCAATAAATAGTTGCTTGGCTCAAAGACAGAGTTCTGTATTTTATAAATTTGAATTAGAGACCAGAAATAGATCTCTGACCTTTTAAAACAATATAAGGACACCTTTTCTTGTACAGGGTCTTTTTGTTCCTTCTCTAATGAACCCTGGACTGTATCTCATGTCAACCATCAACTTAAAAATTTTAAGCTGAATCCCCCTTCCAGAACTGAAATCCATTTGTCTTAGAATGAGGATACTAACATTCAAAGACTCATAGTGTAGCCCTGCTCAGTTCTTACAAGTCCATCCGTGGTCTCTAGAACACTTTATTTTAGAACACAGAGGGTGAAAACCATGGGCTTAAACATGGCTGAGCATGGCAGGATCTGAGTACTGTGTAGAGCGCTGTCTAAGGAGTGCATGAAACAGAATGCCATGCCTTTCATGTCTCTATGAGACATGAACAACCTGTGGTTATAGCCTGTATGTACCCTTTTATAACCAACTGAATCAACATGACACAGAAATGGATGAAAATATCCATTGTCCTACAAAGAGAATATAAAAATTTAAAACTTTCAAAATCTGATGAACTTTATGGATGCTGTTGTCATTTATGCATACTGGTAGCATAATTTTAATTAGTTGAATACCATCTCATATTTAAAAGTCCCGTGGAGAGAGCTAATGTGCATACATCTTAGATTATCAAAGACTTAACAATATAACAATATTCTCGGGTGGCTAAGTAAGTTTGTGTTTTAGAATTATATTTTCAATTGATAATTTATATCGTTTTTTTTCTTATGTAAACCATAAAAAATTAATTTGTGATAAATTTAAAAAAAACATTTTTCATAGCCAAGCTAGCTCATAACTCACTAGGTAATCCAGACTAGTTTTGAATCCATGGCAAATTCTCCAGCTTTAGTCTTCTGAGTCATGGGATTATAGGCATAAGCTATATGTGGCAAAATGTAGGAAAATCTCTCTCTCTCTCTCTCTCTCTCTATATATATATATATATATATATATATATAATACATGAATACACATACATACACATTTTATTGCACGTGTTTGAAACTCAAGAATAAATAAATAAATATGAGTGCTTACTCATGTAAATGCAACTATTTTGGGTTTTCGGGACCAAAACAAACCAAAACAAATAAACAAACAAACATACCAAAATACATGTACATGTAACTATATACATAAATATGTATGTATAAGTCTCTTTATAACTTTGCCTATTAACTTTGGAGATAAGCTATACAGGTGACATTTAAATAACGTGAAACCTAAAGTGGTGTTGTACAGTGATGAGCAGAGTGTTGAGGCCTAAACCTAGAGTGACCAAGCATTTGGGTACTGAGCAGAGAAGAATCAGCAGAGATGCCTAAATAGTAGGGGGCAGAAAAAAGGAGGATGCTATTCCAAAATCAAGAGGAGAAAACAGAAGTTATGAGTTTCATCAAAAATGCAGATGACACAGAATAGACCCAATACGAGATTTGACAACATGCTGTGCATTGTAACTTTGATAGGAAGGAATGGGTGCTCAGCTGGAAAGAAATGATGACAGGAGAGGTTAGGAAGTAGGATGGTGGACATTAAGAGAAAATGTACCAGTTTTACTGGTATTAGATTTGACACGTCTTTGCTTTCAGGAAAAGCCTGAAAAGGTTATTTTTTTGTTGATTATTTTGTTTTGGTCTCCCAAATGGTACATTTACATATGTAAGCACTCATATTTCTTTCTTTATTCTTCAGTAAAATGTGATAAATTTGTTCCCTATTTCTCTCCTCTAAATCCTTCCACATGCTCTTCGGGATGTTCCCTTCCCAACTTGGCTTTTTAAAATAGCTCACTAAGGCCAATCAGTGCTGCCAGTGTGTGCATGGGTACGGGTCATCACTGGAATGTGGCATGTCCATCAGTAAATGCTTTAGAAAGACAAGTTACTAAAATAAAGAAAAACTTCAGGTAAATAAGGTTTCTGTAAGAACACAAACTTTTATTAACTATCGGATTTTCAGATTGTTTACATACAACATACAGATCTATTTTATATGTGTCATCTTATAAGTTAAACTTTTCAAACATGTTGTTTAAAGTGCAATTTGAAAAGAACTGGAGACATTTAAAAAATTTTTTTTAGTCTATTCCCAAAATCTTCCAAGAGTCATTAGAAAGTCACAATAATACTTAAAGGAATATGATAAATGTGCCATTTGGAACAAAAGTCCAATTTAATGGGCAACCTGAATGCTCGAGAAAAATGTCAAGTTGAAAGCTTGTCTTTTCATTTGAAAGAACTGGATGAAGAACATAGCTTAATGAACACCGAAGTTGGGTTCTAGGGTTTGTATCTAATCAAAGATATCTTCTGGGCTGCTGTTCCTCAGGGTTTCTAAAGACATGTCTGCAGCAGCTGCATGCTCTTCTTTCAAGGTCTGAGGCAGTGAAGGGGCAAGCCTAGAGGAAAAAAAGCCAGGAGAGTTATCTTTTAGGTTTTTTAAAAATTTCTATTTTATCTTTATTTTTCCTATTATTGAAAATTGTTTTCTTAAACCTTACATAATATATCCTGACGACAGTTTCCTTTCCCTCTGTACCTCCCAGTTTTTTCCCATCTCCCTCCCGTCCATATCCACTGCCTTTCTGGCTCTCATCAGAAAATAAATAGGTTTCTAAAGGATAATAATAAAATAAAATAAGATAAAACGAAATTAGCACATTGGGTTAGGACAAACAATGAGCAGAAGGAATAGAGCCCAAGAGAAGGCACAAGAAACTGAGACCCACTCATCTGCATACTCAAGACTCTCATAAAAACACTAAATCAGAAGCCATTTTACACACACACACACACACACACACACACACACACACACACGACCTGTAGAGTAAAGGGGGCGAAAAATAAATAAAGTTAAATTTAAAAAAGACACAGTTAAATAACAACAGCAGAATGACTTGAACTTCCAAGGATGTCAGGGGGTTCATTTTCCCTTGGCTACCTACTACTGGGCACGCAGCCTACCCTTAAGAGTAGTTTGCTCCCCAAGTGAAACTCCATGGAGAAAACTAAATTTTCATTTGCAAGCAGTTTTCAATTAGACATTGCTCCTGGGTCAGGGATGGGGGCATATGTCTGGTGTGAGAAGTCCTTCTATATATGTGTTGCTTTTATTGGTTAATCAATAAAGAAGCTGCTTGGGCCTATGACAGGGCAGAATAGAGCAAGGTGGGAATTCTAAGCAGAGATAGAGGAAAAAAGAAGGTAGAGTCAGGAGACACCATATAGCTGCCAAAGGAGGCAGATGCCAGAACTTTACCCGGTAAGCAATAGCCTTGTGGAGATACATAGAATAATAGAAATGGGTTAATTTAAGATGTAAGAGTTAGTTAATAAGAAGCCTAAGCCATTAGGTCAAGTAGTCTTTAATATATTTTCTGTGTGATTATTTTGGGTCTGGGTGGCTGGGGACAAATGAGCAGTCTCTGCCTACATGTGCCCACTTCTCCTTTCAGTTCTAGGACCCCATCTGGATAGACCTATGTGCATGCTGCTTCAGTCTCTGTGAGTTCATCTGTGTATACATCATGTGGATTCAGAAGGCCTTGTTTTTCTTGGTGTCTTCCAACCTCTCTGCCTCTTACACTCTTTCCCTCTCCTCTTCTGCAGGACTGAGCACTGAGAGGAGGGACTGGATGGAGCCATCTTGTTTAGAGTTGAACGTTCTCAGTTCACCCATTCTTGGCATACTGACTGGTTGTGAGTCTGTACATTTGTTTTACCCATTAATATCCATGTTGTCTCTCAGCAACTGTACTCTCTGATCACACGACTTCACTCTAGTAGTCAGCTGGTCAGTTGATTAATTTTGACACCATATCCTGGCACATGGGGACAAAATGTACTTGTCTATATGATTTATAGGGTCTACAGTTAATCACACAGTAAGCTAAATTCTATTTAGATGCATGAGAACAGCTACTGCTTCACTGGATTTGACCTGTATACGTAAACACAACTGTGAAACCAAGACAATAGCCTGTTCACTCCATGACCACTGTGGCCAAGCAATCTGGGCTGGAAGATCACAGAGCTTAGTCAAAGTGAATTGCCGTCCTTGATTAAACCCTGCCAGTGGTTCACCACTGAGCCTTGGGAAGCATTGCTCAATATTAACTAGAGATGGCTTCAGGGGTAGATGTGATTAGATCAAATCAATCTATTAATAGAGGTTTCTCCATATTTCCAGCTTCAAAGCCATGCCTAGCCTACTATAGCTGAAAAAGTACAAGGTTGAAGTTAGGACATGTGGGTGTGAATTATGGTATGACTAGGCCAGCCAGTCCATTCAATAGGCCTTCAGTTTTCTTTCCATAAAACTGAGGTGGCATGAGCCTTAATAATGATGTGAAGATTAAACTAGGTGACGAAAATGAAAATGTTTGTAAATTCCCACAAGACACACAGAAGCTGTTATTACAAGTGGATAAATATTGAATAAAGTATTAAGATTTGGTAGTGGCAGAATAAAGGAATAACCAACTGAAATCCAGAAATATGGGCTATGTATTATTATTTTAAAATCCCTGCACCTATATTCAGTTGCACAGATTATTAAAATTGAATTCACTGCCCAGTCCTCTTTGGTCTCTTGACTATGCCCAATTAACCATGACTGGCTACTCCCAATCAGGGATGGGTCTTCATTATGCTAAGTAAGCCAAGGGCAGATAACCTGATTATGCCAAGATACTAGGCATTAATACAGAGTCAAGGTGACAATTACAACTCCTGGGAATTAACAGGAAACACAGATGTAACTATCATAGCACATAAACAAGTATCTAGAATGTACTTCATAAGAGAAAAAAGATACTTTATAAATAGCAACATATCCTTTACACATTTTCACACTTATACACAAACATATACATGTAGAAACACATATATATGCTTTCACACAAAACACACATATACATGCACATGAATGCATACACACACATCTTTTTCTCTGGTCTGAAATGTATTAGTTGCTTTTAGCTCTCTTGAGCAAAAAGAGGACTGAATTATGTCAATTAGGAAGCCAGACGTGGAAAGGCCTCTGCAATATTGTTCACTGTACACACCTAGAAAACAGAGGTCTATCAATTCTGTTTTAAAATATCAGCAGAAGGAAAAAGGATTACTCTGAAGGGATGAGACACAAAGACAGAGATTCCTGGTGCTACATGTATAACTGCTGTTTGTGGAAAGCCTGGAGCTGAAGAAACTGAGTTGACCTTTGTTAGGATTGTGAGCCATGACAGTGATTGTGAGCCATGACAGTGACTGTGAGCCATGACAGTGCAGTCAGGATAGCACGTGACAGAAACGCACAATTCTCAGGTCTCATATCACAGTGAGTCAACAGAGACAGTTAAAACTCTGTCCACAGCAAAGAAACATTCATCTCTTTCACAAGTGACAAATATTTCAGAGATGTTTTTGTAAATTTATAGAAAATAGAAAGAACTAAGATACATTTTTCTGTTTTACATTTTTACTATTTAGGAGTTAGGTAGATTTCAGATAGTTCGATGATGGTTCCACAGGGGGAATTCAGAAGCCAGGATCAGGAGATCTTTATCTGGGATCAACTAAATTCTATGTGCACATTAAAACCATTGTGAAACTTCTTTCAATGGCAGGTTAACAATATCTGTAATAATATCAAGGCTTGCAGAGGATGTCAAACAACTAGATAAAATATTGTTGGTAAGATATCCGAAATTTGAAATTACTACAGAAAACAACTGGCCAATATCTGTCAAAGATAAGGAAATGTTTCTACCTGTGGCTCAGAAATTCACCACGAGGCAGATACTCAGGACATACATGCATACATATATACATACATATGATCATAGAGGTGTTTATTAGTAGTGAAAAACTGAAAACTATATACATATCTTTCAACATGGAAATGGCATATTACTGAATATCTATATAGCAATACACACAATTTTCACTGAGTAGAATACTATATAGTTATACACATAAGTTTTGTATAGTAGAATACTATACAGGTATACACATGCACAAATCTCAAATGAAGTGTCAAGCAACAGATCCAAGCATGAAAGCCATACTACTGCATGGCTCTACCTAAAAGTCAACATCACAAAACTAAGCAATAGTGATCTTTGAACAGTGATATATGTGTGGATGTGTCATGTGCACACACATGTGTGCATACAGGACATATCTGTGTACCTATGGATGTTTATTACATCTGCTTTTCCATGAGAAGTCAATTCTGGCTATTTTCAGCTCCTCCATGACAATCTTTTCAGCTCCTCTAGACCTTGTAGCTTTGGCTGTGGTGGAGATATTTATAGAGAAGAACAGGAGATGCAGTGCTAGTTTTGAGAGCTTGGTTTGAAACACCAGCTAGTCATCTAATTGGAGGGAGAGTGAGACAGGGGAGGGGATACATAGCAACAAAACTCAGGGAAGGCATCTTCAGAGGAGGGCAGACATGGCCTCATCAGTAAAAGGTGAAAGGGAAGAGCTATCCAGAGGTGGGCTTGTTAAATAGAAAATGCATTGTTGTGGACAATAGATGATGGAGGAGTTATTTTCATTTAATAAAGAAACTGCCTTGGCCCATTTGATAGGCCAACCCTTAGGTGGGTGGAGTAAACAGAACAGAATGCTGGGAGAAAGAAGCCAAGTCAGTCAGTCGCCATGATTCTCCCACTCCAGACAGACGTAGGTTAAGATCATTCCTGGTAAGCCAGCTCGTGGTGCTACACAGAATATTAGAAATGGGTTAGATCAATGTGTAAGAGCTAGCCAATAAGAGGTTAAAACTAATGGGCCAACCAGTGTTTAAAAGAATACAGTTTCCGTGTAATTATTTCAGGTAAAGCTAGCCGGGTGGCGGAAAGCAGCCCACCGCCCTTATTACTACAAATAAAGATTAAAATTGAAGAGACAGGGAAAGGAGAAAAGGAAACAGAGGAGTGACTCAAGACAGCACTAACAGCTTGAGTGGCTGCCACTTTCACCAACTCTGGCTCCCACTGCAATGTTGACTGCGGAAGCTTACATTTTAGGTAAATTATTTCACTCATTATTAATTATCTGGAGCTGAGAAGAATAATCTGGAAGGACACTGTTAAGCTTAAGATTTATCATAGAAGGGCAGGCAGTGTTTTTTCTCAGGAAGGAAGAAGTATTAAACTCCTAGATCACAGCCGTCACACATTCAAGTGCTGAACCACCACCACCCAGCCACCTCAGAAGGACAGCTGGAAGCAACTGTTCTGCTTATGTAAAGAAAAAAATTGCCTACACAGTTAAGCTTTGTTTTATTCTCTTTCTTCCCCCTGGAGTTTGAATGGTGGAACATGAGTAACTGCCTATAAGAACATATACCACACACACACAAATACATAAAATACAACTTGAAAAA